CCCCAAAACCATCTACCTACAACCAACCACTACTAGAAAACAGGTCATTTTCAACGGAAAAATTCCGTCGGAATCACCCTGAAATCTGTCGGAAAACCCGTTTCCGACATAATTTTCGTCGGAATTGGTTTTCGGAAAACCTTTTGTAGGAAAAACGACCTTTCCGACAGAATTTTCATCGGAAACACTTTTCCGGCATCGGATTAGTCCGTCAGAAATTTCCGACGGATACTGTTCTGCCGGAATATTTCGACGAAATTTCCGTCGAAAAAGTCAATAAAAAAAAAACAAAACAGCCCCTACCACCACCCATATCCACCAACACTGCACCTGTTGCCACCATCATAATTCACCCAACACCGCTATTCACCCACCACCATCGCCTAAATTCACCCCATCACTATCAAAACCCCCCACCACCAAAACCCAAAACCCATAACCGAAACCACTCCAACCAAAACCCCACCCACACCAAACTGAAACCACCCCAACCATTAACTTACCCAGCACCAAACTCACACCAGCTCCCACCCCACCACCACTGACACCACTACACACCACCACCATTCCAAAAATTAACCCTAAAAACCGAAATTAACCCAAAAAAAAAAAAAAATCAACCCCAAAAAACAGAAAATTAACCCCAAAAATACGAAAATTAACACAACATAATCAAAAAATACCAAACAAAAAAATCATAACCAGTAGATCTACATATTAATCAGAATTTCATTAATTTTTTTTTTAAAAAAAACGATAATTAACCAACGAAAATTAAAAGAAATATGTAAATATACAGTTATCTAATAAATTTATAAACTAACATTACAATTACATACAAAATTAACTAGATCTACGCTCTAACCTAAATTACAAGATCTACAAAACAAAAACCTTAAGAATGGGTGGCTCGCGACGGTGGTTGTTGGCTTTGTTGTTGTTGCGCCGTTGTTGTTACGGTTGATGTTGGTTGTTGACGGTGCTTGATGTTGGTGGTGAACGGAGGGAGAAGAGGAAAAAGACAAGAGAAAAAGGAGGGAGAATGAGAAGAAGACCGAGAAAGATGAGGGAGGGCAAGAGAAGGAGAAGAAGACCAGAGAGAGAAAAGGAAAGAGAAGAAAGAAGAGAAGGAGGAGGAGGAGAGAGAAACAGTGGGCGGCTAGAGAAAGAGAAATGAGAAGGAGAGAGAAAGAGAAAGAGAAAAGATGAAATGAAAGGGGAGGGGAATCGGTTCATCTTGTTAGGGTTTTTTTTTATATCATTATATTCCGACAGAATATTCCGTCGGAAATCCCATATATTACGACAGTTTCATATTCCGTTGGATTTTTCCTACGGATTGTTAAAATCCGTCAGATATATCCGACGGAATAAAAATCCGTCGGAATTTCTGATTTTTCCGACGGAAATACGTGTCCGTCGGAAACAGTCCGTCAGAAATCGGCCTATTTCTAGTAGTGAACCCCACCACCCCTGAATCAGAAACGGCCAACCCCACCTAACCACTAACTCGATACCCAACCTCACCTTCGAACACCCAAACTTCACCGGATCCCGAAACCCAAGCCGACCCTATACCGAACACTAAACCCACCCTTTCTCACTTGAACTCCCCCTCACTGGACCACCATAGAAATTTTGAGGAAGGGGGAATAGGAGGTAACTGTTCATCGACGGGGGTAGGGGGTTGCTGTTCGTCGACGGGGAAGGGGTGCGAGGCTGTTATCGTCGGCAGAGAAGGGATGGGGGGCTGCTATCGTCGGCAGAGTAGGGGTGGGGGGCAGCTATTGTTGACGGGGACGGAAGGGGTGGGGGCTACTATCGTCGATGGGGAAAGGGGTGGGGTTTCTCCGGTGTGAATTGTTAAACATCGCCCGCAAATTCCTACATAAAGCCCACAAAATAAGAGTGAAATGACACTTTTGCCCTCATACTAAAAAACACACAATTTCTCTCTCTACTCTCTACTTCCACTTTCTCTCTCTAAATTATTTCCAGAGCTATGTCGAGGCGGCCCGGCAAGGAAGTGGCGGCACCGGCGGTGGGCGGAAGGCGGTTTGCCGGCCAGAAGGTAATTTTTTTAATTTTTGTAATTTTTTTTTAAAAAAAAAACCTCCGGCGACGGTGGGGCGCCAAGGCGAGACGCCACCACCACGGAGGAGGCGCCTAGGCAAGGCGCCCGTACGGTGGTGGCGGCGCCTAGCCCAGACGCCACTACCACGGCAGCGGCGCAGAGGCTAGGCGCCACGGCCGTGGTAGTGGCGTCTGGGCTAGGCGCCGACACCACCGTACGGGCGCCTTGCCTAGGCGCTTCGTTCTTTTTTTTTTTTTTAAATTTTTTTTTTGTTTTTTTTTAATTTTAAATTTTATTTTCGATTTTTTTTTTTTTTTTTTTTTTTTAAAAATTTGTTTTTCTTTTTTTTAAATTGTATGTTCCCTTTTTTTTTATCTTTTTTTTTTTAAATTTTGTTTTTTTATTTGTTTTAATTTTATATTTTTTATGTTTATAATTTTATTTTCGTAACTTGTTTATTTGCTTTTGTGTTTATTTTCGACTTTTTTTAATTTGTTTTCGTTATTATGTTTCGTTATTTACTTGGAGTTAGGCATCGCAATTTAGACCTGGTGCGGGGAAGAATATTGACGTCGTGAGGAGTACGATCTACTCAATGGAGAGCTCGGGGCCCAGACACGTTAGATCCCGTGGTATTTCGGCCTCGGCCCGCAGAGAACGGGTGCACTGTTCTGCGGACGATCAAGATGATGATGATGATGATGATGAGGAGGAGGAGGAGGAGGTCGAGGAGGAGGAGGTCGAGGACGAGGATGATGCAGATGAGGATGTCGACGATCAGAGTGGACCATATGATGATTACGGTCCATTCAGTCAGAGACTTGATGATACGTATGAGACGCATAGGGTAGATGTGCGTAAGGGTCGAGATGGTAGGTTTGTTAGTAGATCTGGCACATCATCTGCGTCCACTGTGTCTGCGGGTAGCAGAAAACGGTCGAGGGCCGTTAATGATTCTTGGATGGTGAGGGGTGAGGTGGCCGGGGGACCTATAGACGGGAGTGTGATTCCTAGCTTTTTAGGACACATCGCTACCCGTATTTGGGAGGACCAGGAGAGGGCTTTGGATACAGGCATTTTGAAATGCCAAACCCGGGAAAAGACTTGTAGGTTTTTGTGTAGCTGGGCTGATGTTTGGCCGGAGGAGAGCGAGATGGTCAGGCGATTGAGGGCCACTAGAGTGAGTCACCTTCCTGCCACCATGCACGACAGGATTGACTGGACGCTGATCACGGCTTTCGTTGAGCGATGGCAGCCGGATACGAACTCGTTCCACCTTCCGTTCGGTGAGATGACGATCATGTTGCATGACGTCGAGGCCATCCTTGGGATTCCCGTGGAGGGAAACCGAGCATCTGTCGTCACTGATGCGGATCAGGCAGATTTACTAGCGGAGCTGTTGGCGGTGGATAGGGCTGCGCTGTACACATCGGCACTTGGTGTGTGGGATCACGGCGGCGTTAAGATCGCAGCCGTCTTGCAGCGATGTTTGCACCCTACGGCACGTAGGACGCAGGACACACAGCTGGCTGCATATGTTTTTCTTCTTCTCGGGTGTACCTTGTTTCCGGATAAGAGCGGGAACAAGCTCAGGCCACGCGACATAGTTGACGCGTGTGAGCCCGACAGAGTAGGCCAGTTTTCTTGGGGGTCGGCTACGCTGGCGTATCTGTATCGCCAGTTAGGATTCTCGAGCCGGGCTGATGCAGCAGGTATCACTGGATGTCTGACGTTGTTACAGACCTGGATATACGAGTATTTTCCTGCGTTTCGACCACACCGCGACCCGGTTCCCATTGGTGATGGCCAGCCACGTGCCTGTGCGTGGAGTCCGCGTGTCGAGAAGAAGTCCGTTGACCGCCTGCGCTCCATACGGTTATCGCTTGACAGGATGTCCCCCTTAGAGGTACAGTGATTAAATTATTTCTACTTTTACAATCTGATGCTTTATTTTATGACTGTTACTGATTTTAAATAATGTGCAGGTGAACTGGATGCCTTTCGGCCAGAACCCTAGTAATAGGGTACCCAGGACCCTCTACACTGGACTGATTCAGTATCGCGAGATCGTAGAGGCGTACATGCCGCAGCGCTGTCTTCGCCAGCTTGGATTTGTCCAAGTTGTCCCACCTCCACCGGCATGGCCCAGTAAGGCGGTACGATCTGCGTCGTCGAAGGAGTACGTCGTCCAATGGCCGTCAAACATGATATCCATGTGGGAGCAGTTTCCGATGGTTGCCCGCCTATGGACGGCGGAGCTGCAGCGGCCGCCAAGTGGGGTGACTGCCATGTGTGACCAGCACTACATGGAATGGTACATCCGGCACTCGCACCCGAGGTTGATCAAAGACATCGACGACGCAGATGATGACGATGTGCCACCTGCCACTGCCTCTTATGCGGTACGTCTCATCTTTTATTTGTTGTTCTCTTATTTTAATATATATATGTATAATACGTCGTTTCATGTTTTATGTTTTGTGTAGTGGATGGGCAAGATTATGCAGTTGGGACACCGACTTTTTGAGGAAAGGGACTGCATGACGAGTGCATCAGGCAGAGCTGTTATTGACGATCTGGAACGGACCCTTGAGCAGTGGCAGTGGGCGTCACAGAGGGATTACTGATATTTGAAATTAGACATTATCTTTTTAGTTTGTAATATTTGAAATTATTGTTCTTAGTTTTTAAAATTCAATATTATCTTTTTAGTTTGTAATATTTGAAATTATTGTTGTTAGTTTTTAAAATGAAACATTATCTTTTAAAAATGAACACATAGAAATGACATAGTATTGACAATACAAGGCCTCATAGTAAAAGGTAGGTGTACATCAACAAAAACTACATGGCAATTAAATTGTTCCACTGTTGCACGCGAGCATGGTACAAAGCATCCCAACCCTCCACGCTTGCTCTACGAATTTCATACCACTTCGGTATGATATTTGGGACCGGAAAATCGGGTGACATGTCTAATCGGATAAAATGTCTGTATGACGGCCCAAGAAATCCAATAGCAACGTCCCTTACCGGTCTGGTGACGGTCTCGCGCGAACACCAGGGCAGAACCGTTGTACATGGATAATAGGCTCGACTATGTAAACCAAGGCCGAAATGCATGACTGCACACTTGTAAATGTTTGCAACGGCAAAGAGATCAAGTGGCGCATCGAACCAATGATTTTGACCGCAAGGTCCCCCTCCCCACCGGATACGCTGCAGAGACCTATCCAAGTCCTCGCCGTACACATGGCCATACACATCTCGGTTTGATGCGATTTCACTGTACATCAACTGCCGCACTAAACCGTAGTTGTCTTCACCCATTTGAAACACATCCGCCACAACCCGAAATCCGCAGTTACCATCTGCAATGACATCATTCCACCCGTCCAAGAATGGCATCATGATATTAGGGATCCTGTCCTTATATGGAAAATGTTCAATGTCCATTCTCCCTGTTACACACATCAATAAACACAATAAACAAGTCAACAGTAAACTAATCAAACAGTCAACAAAAGAAATTGAAGTCGAATGTCTTACCGGTGCCGGGCATATTCACCGACGACGATGATTGGCTGCCACTTGATGAGGATGTACGACCACGGCCACGGCCACGGCCACGACCGCGAATGTACTCAAACGCACTCTTGTTCCGCCGTGGTTGTCGACCCCTAGGTCGCTCGACCCCTTCCGGTTCCTCGGTATCCAAACACGATGTATTGAACATGTCATGAAGTATGTGTGTAGCACTACGAATGATCGAAGGGTGACTGGAGGACACTTGGTCAAACATCATCTGAAACTGCTCCAACTCCTCCTGTTCACGGTGAACCGTATGCGGAACAGCATGCTCTCCGATAACGAGCGTCCGCCAGAATGGATGAACCTGATCGACATGTAACGACGCCCTGTCTTGCGTAATTACGCGGTTAATGGTGCATGCACAAGGTAATCCATGAGTCATTGATATAGCACATCCGCACCGAATAGCCACTTCATCGCCCAACTCCCTCATCCTGGTATACTCGCTCAGAATCAACCCCAAACAGTGGTGTGACACACGACCGTGGAGAATCTTAAATATGAAATGGCCATACAACATGCCAGTGCTTGTGCCTGGTGCAGAAGCTGCTGTATAGGGTTCCTTCCCTCTGACCGTTCAAACCTCAATTTCTGTCTGACGTTGTAGATGTGTCTTCGGTTTGGCTGGTCTTCGGGGAATTTCTCTAACACAGACGCTAATATTTTAGCGGGCTTCACTTGAGCATCACTCATTTCTTTTACAACTAGTTTCGCAGCTGGACTTAGGCCGCTTAACTGCCGATGCCCCACTTTGTATGCTATCAGCTCATGGTTGTGATATCCCCATTTGCCGTAACCCTTCACTTCCCAACCGTCACGCCTTTGATGTTGTCGAACCTTAACTCGGAACTGACACCCACAACCTTTCCGCTTTGAGTCAAACCGAATCGCTTTACTGAAATCTCGTTCTTCTCTTTTGCGATAACGGTCGCATCTCAAAATGCGATCCATTCTACCATCCCGTTGAGATTTATGAGTTGCTACTACTAAACAAAAGCCTGATCTAATTGCAACCTGTTTTGCCCAATCAATCGCTTGTTGAGCATCTTCGAACAGGCCATCATGTACAAAAATCCCACTGTAATCATTTCCGTCTCCACCATAATCCTGTAACAATAACATATAACGTATAAATATAATTACATCAAGATTAAATTAACAAAAACAAACAAAAAAAAAAAAGGGATTAAATTAAAAAAAAAAAAAAAAAAAAATATTCCCCTACTGGCGCCTGGCCAGGACGCCGGAGCCACGGCCGGGGCGCCTGGTCAGGACGCCGCCGCCATGGTGGCGGCGTCCTGGCCAGGCGCCTTGGCCGTGGCTGCGGCGTCCTGGCCACGCGCCACTACTATGGTCGTGGCTTCTCCACCAGGCGCCGTGACCACGGTGGCGGCGTCCTGGCTAGGCGCCACAACCACGGCATGGCCTTTTGGCTAGGCGCCAGCCACCATTTCGTCCTTACGATGCGTTACGAACCTCGTTTTCCGATGACGACGACGATTCTCCGGTGATCCTCGGCGATCCGGTGCTGCTCCACATTTTTTTAGTGCGAAAAATTTATCTTCCGTTAAAATTATAAAAAGGGCAAATTTGTCAAAAAATTATAAAATGTGGGCTTTATGTAGAGATTTGCGGGCGATGAATAACAAGTCCCTTCTCCGGTGGGGTTGACCAGTGGTGTTGCTCCAGCGGGGAAAGGGGTGGGATTGGCTGGTGGTGCTACTTCGGAAGGGAATGGGGAAGGCAGGGGGGGTTGTTTCAGATGGCGGTTTGGGAACAAAGGGGGTTGATTATTTTTTATATTTTTTTTCTTTTTTTTTTTAACTTTTATTTTTTTTAAAAAAAAAGTAAAATGGTGACATGTGTGACTGTGGACCCCACTTAACGGAATTTTTGGACGGAGACCGTTAAGTGGTGGTAAAAACCATTTTTGTAAAAAAATTCTGGTGTTAAAATTAATTTTTTGTATGGGGGTGTTAAAAATCATTTTCGGGTTTTTGTTTGGTGCTAAAATCTAAAATATCCTTTTTCTTATGAGATTTCCATTTGGTACCATTGTACTTTTGCCTTTTCCATTTGGTACCTAATTTTTATCTTTATTCCACATGGTACCACTACACTTTTAATTTATTCTCTACTATAAAATTTCATCAAATTTGTTTTGTATTCTTTGATTTGGGTGTCATAAAAATTGTTTGATTAAGGTTTTAAGGGTGTGTTTAAGCCCTTAACAGTCTTAAGGTTCAAAGTTGAGGTCGAATTAGCAACAAAAAATGCTTTAAAATGTCTCAGTTTACGTGTAAGAAAAATGTCTCAATTTGTATATTTTGACTTGTTTCGCGCAAAAAAAATGGTCGATTAAAGTGTTGGGGGTTATAATGACTTTTAAGGATCAACATTTGAAGTCGAAATTAGAAAACAAAGGACCACAATCGCCTCAAACTAGTTCTTTATTTAAAGGGAAATTATAGTAGAGAATAAGTCAAAATTATAATGGTACCATGTGAAATAAAAATAAAAATTGGGTACCAAATGGAAAAGCCCAAAGTACAATGGTACCATATGGAAAATCCCTATTTTTTTAAAACGTCTTGTAGTTATTTTAGTTTCACATGAATATCTTTAGTATCAATTTGATTAACTTGGGTATGTAATTTGGTATCAATGAGGGTTTTTTTTTTATTTAATATGAGGACCATAAACTATAAAGTGTTTTGTGATAATTGCAGAGGATCTAAATCTAATGGAAAATCTAGAGGGCAATATAGAAATGATCAAGATCTTAATGAGATTATTGTTATATATGAATTGTATGTGAAGAGAAGATCCTCGCATAGCAAACTCCCCACAAGTGGGTATAGCCTTTGTATCAGGACATGAGCCGAGTATGCCAAATTTTCCATGACTATGCATTATAACAAGGGTTCATGTTCTTCACCAAAGCAAGCTTTAATTACTAAATGAAGGTGTTACTCAATACAAAATCACAATTACTGACCATTGCACCACTTAAATTCAATTTTCAAATTTGAAATTCAAATTTAACATTCCAAAAAGTTTCAAAGTAAAATTTTTAGATGCAATGACAGTGGGGCCAATTTTCAACCAATTTGAGAAAGGTGTTTGTCTATATAGGGTACACATAGACTAAGTCTATGTGTACCCTTTATGTTTCCATTCTAAAATTTAATGTCCCAAGCATGGCTTTCATGTCGTGATGGCCTTACAATAGGCTTGTATCAGGTCGGGTCAATTTTGTGTCGGTTAAGCTCATGCTCAACTTCACATAGATTTTTTTTTTTTTTTTTGCTTTTTTGCAAGACAAATTCCGATGTGTAATTTGGTGCATCCGTGCATATGAGCCAGGAACGTCTACAAATTTCGACCAACTATAAACAGCCAAAACAAGACACCATAACCTCAGCCCTTAGAAGTAGGAGAGAGTAAAAAGATCTCCAGCTCCAATCATTGAAATATTTTATGAGTCTCATAAGGAAGAAGATCCTTTGGAGTATTCAGCGAATTCTCGGCCATCAGATTATGACAGCCTTGGTTTTGGTTTACCTCGTTCTTCAGCAGATTCAAGATCTGGTTCCACTAGTCGTACTCCGGGATAGCCAAATTCTATTCCAGGGTTATTTCCGTCGTCGGATCCGGAGGTGTTTCGTAGCAGCAGGCATGAAGTCAGCCATAGGGAATTAGGGACTAATTAGATGATTAGGAAGCAATTAGAGACTCAAGATCATGTTACTCAAGACTCACCACGTGTCCACCATGCAAATACAGATGATGGAAGCTGGCAGTTTATGGGGGGATGGCCTGTCGCAATTCCAAGTGGTGATAATTCTCTTAAGGCAAATCCACGTGCTGGTGGGAGTCATTTTTTGGATTCTTCTTCAAGAAGAGATAATCATCCCTCTTTTTTAGTAAGCTCGAGTATGACAGAATCCTTGGGTCAAGCAGATTTGGACCGACATATTTCTAGGTGGGCCTTAAGTTCACGGATCGTGTCGTCAGAAGTTAATTCTCACGCTCCATTTTATTTAAATCAATATATGGATCTTCTATGTTACATAGAGTGGGCCGACCCACTGGTTTATTTCATCAAGATCTTGAAGCTCCTATTGTTATCTCTTATCCTAATCAAGTTGTTCCGTCAGGCCCACCTCTTATTCCGAATTTCTCTCCTCCTCCTTTGGGCCCAGGTGGACCTATTTTTGAAGATTCTTTCGGCCCTGTTCCAAGCAAATGGCAAGCTGATTCTCCCTACTGCTTCTCCTTCCCCATCTCTATCTTCTTCTTTCTTTGTGAACTGCTCTGAAAATCCAGGCTATATAGCATATTCATCTTCTGGTGCCTTTGAGTTTCCTCCAACCCCAGAAGATGAGGGCGATTCGGGATCAAATGATATCTCTTCTTTGGTTTCGGATTCCGTTGTTCCAATGGTATGCTCTCCGCCTCAATCGCCTCCAACCTTAGATATTATAACTTCTTCATCACCCAAGCGTTCAAGTTGCTCGCCGATTAGGAGGGTGGGGGCAGGCATGCTTTGGTCTTAAATTACGCAAAAGTGGAGAGAAAATGTGGGAATGGGTCAAGCAACACGTCCCGAAGAAGCGATCTGCTGGTTTGGTTGAACCCTCGGCTCCACCTATTTCTGTCGAACAATAGCAACAAGCTCGTGATTCTGGTTGTCTACCTTGTTTTTTACCATATAAGAAACGCAAAGGGAATTCTGGTTCTCCTTCTCAGGTTTCTTCTGAAGGATCAGTGACCTCCCGAATTGGGTCACAAATTCTGGATGAAGGTTGTAGTTTGGAATTGTAGGGGTTTAGGACAAGTGGACTCCCCTAAAATTCCATATATTTCCTCTCTATCCGCTCTCATAGTCTAGATATAGTTTGTCTTTTGGAAACTATACTTCTTGTTGATAATGTTGTGCAAAACTTAGCATCTTTGCCTTTTTGGGTTGTAGTGGCATAAATGTCGTAGGTCTTAGTGGCGGTATGTTTATATGTTGGTTTTCTCCACTAGGTTTAGTTCCTGTATATAATTCTCATAATGTTTTTCTCTGTAAATTGGTGCAAGGAGATGAAATAAAACATGTAATGTTTGTGTATGGATCGCCTCATATTACTAATCATTTGCATATTTGGAATCTGATTAGTAGTATTATTATTGAAAGCCATTCCGGATGTAATCCTGATAGGTGACTTCAACCAAGTCGAATACCTTTCGGATAAATTAAAGGAAAGGTTTACTATTCCTGGACAATTGGATTTTATTCAATGGCGTACGGGCTTGGATTTAGTGGGTGTCCCTTTTACAGGCCCTGAATATA